ACTTCCTAAGAATCGTGTGTACAAACTCATTTTGAAGAACACCTGTTGTTTTAGTCGTTTAATTTCCTTTCGCAAGATATTATGATTGTTATTTATAGGATATTGTTACTATATATTGTATTTAATTTGACTGTTTCTGATAATAAAGTAGCTGTTCTTAGGCAAGGACACCTCAAGGTGGTGGTCATACTGGTCACAAATCATGCAGACCTGAACCTGACCGACTCAGAAGGTAAATTTTGCACAGATTTGTGTGTGATAACAACAAATGTACAATTAAGTAAATAGAAGTTGTTCGCGAAATTCGAAATTTGAAAAATTTTATAATCGCGTCTGATATGTAAGAGAATTTGAATTGCATGCGATTGATGGGCATAAATTGAAAAACATGTCCAGAGACTTATCTCCAGATAAGAATCTCCAAAATTTGAAAGAATTTTAAATTTGCTCTAGAAGCAAACAAAGTGCAAACAAATGTGCTATGGAAGCAAGTAAACAAACAACCAGATTACCCTGGTGCAAACATATGGAAGGAGTCTGTTCCAGACTCCATTTGTCTTTTGCCGAAGCTCAGACTGTGGCACAGGATCGGGAAAGTTGGAAGCTCTGTCTGACGTGTCTGCCTGCGCAATCCGAAAGGAGAAGCGGCGATGAAAGATGAAGATGAAGAAGATGAAGCAAACAAATTCACAATTATTCCTGATTTTCTGTTAGGTTCTTTTCAGAATATAATTATTAAAACCGATAATAATCACATACTACTGCTTTATTATCAACGATATTAACCATGAGATATTCTTCAACAGGGCTGTTCACTTTGTAGAGCGTCGCAGATTATAAATGAGTGCCGCCGTCTGTGAAGGAAACTGCATTATGCCTGTCACGCGGCTGTAGACTATGCATTTAGAATAGAGCAATCTTGACTGATGGCAAAGAAGTGGATATCAACGCTCCACAATTTACTTCATTCAGTAACTGAAGTATACATGAAGTACACCATGAATGGTTCCAGTTATGAAAGTGTAAGAGAGATGGACGTTCAGACGGCTAGAACCTTGCCGTTTTGCTTTCACGATACATATTCAGTGGTAGAATTTATAAATTATATGATGGACATCATGGTAAATGACAGATTGCCCAATCCATCATCAGGAACTGGCACCTTTTACCGCGAAATTCAAAGTATGAAATTTAGGCCAATGACAAAACGAGACGGCTTTCTTTCGTGTGTGTCTGCTTATTAAGTATGAGAAAACGTGAAAAGTAAAATTTGGCTGCTTTTGCATGGAAATTTCATGCGTTCGTTTGAAGGATGTCTTGCGATTCATCTGGCAATTCAGTACGATCATACAGCTTTAGTTGCTTACCTGATCAGCAAGGGATGTTCCGTAAACGTCTGTGACCGAAACGGCATGGCGTTGTTGTCGTGGGCAACATGCAGCGGATCGAGGTAATTTTTCATAATGCCGTTTTTATTTCATAGATCACTGTTTACTATTGTATTAATTTTTTGATTCATTTCTATGTTAATGTTTAATATTTTTTAAGCTCCGAGATTTTCCAACTTTTGCTGGCAATGGGTGCAGACGTTAACTTGAAGGACACAACGTTTGGCAACACGGCCCTTCACTGGGCGGTGCTGCACAACAACCACGTGGCAGCTGCTTTGCTAGTGAACAGCAAGGCAGATGTGAGCATAAGAAATTATCAGGTATGCCAACGGCTAATGATTCGTTTTTTATTTGATTTGCCGCGTTGTTCTTAATTCCAAAACAGAACCGTAGTGTTGCTGACCTGGTGATGAGTCGAGAGGAATGTACAATTGTGTCCGTGTGGAAGGAATGCAAGCGGCGCGGCTACGCCCGGTGTTCGTTGCGTGAACGATTGTCGTTCATTAAGGTAGTTTCTACCGTTCCCATAAGACTTTTGCAAAGTTTATTGAGTAAAAATATTTTTAGGGTTTCGTCCAACTGTACTATATGTGTTATCCGTTGGCAGCATTTCTGGTGATCGCTTGGTTAATAGAGACCACGATCGCGTTCAGAGCAGCAAAACTTTTGCTAGTCTGTGTTTCCGCCTTTGCTCTCTATCGCGGCTACTGGTAAGAAAAGAAATTGGAATGAGTTTTACTCAGGCGCACCACAGCACAGCTGACTGGCTGATCGGTGGTAATGCCCGACAAGCCAACATAGCCCCACTGAAACCGGGAACATCCTAGGCAAATCTCTTACCCGCTTGTTTGATTTGACCCTGAATTTTACTGCTTAGCTGTGGTATTCTAATTCATCGCCACTACAATATGGGCAGTAAATTAATTTTCGCATATTTTGCAGGGGTCTTGTTAAACACACTTTTAAATAAAATCTTACAGGAACATTACTCACTTGTAGACAAGTTAAGAAGTGTAGATTAATGAACTCATGTTTCTAAGCGCACACTACTCCCATCTTCAAGGTAGCAAGTTAGTCGTGCACTCAGGGTCATTGACCATATGTTCGTGGGGACGCGCTATGGGAACTGAAGCAGCTGACGCTTCGATATGAATGGTTATTTCGCGTAAACAGTGTGGTTTATTAAGCCGCCCCCTTCAGGTCAAGGAAGGCGCTATAAGAGTCCGGATCTTCTGTTCGTTCGTTCATCCCACACTGAATATGGCAATGAAATGACTCATTATTTTGTCTGCGCGAAGGTCAGCAGTACCTTTGAGGTCTTTTAACCGAAGTTTGTCCGAAACTCACCCTGAAGAAGATCTTGACTTTATTTTATACTAATCATCCGGTTTTCCGCTGCCTTGTTCAAAATAACGTGGACGGCAACCCTGTCGTAGATCGAGACTTTTCAAATTGGCATCTAAGATTGGCGGCAGACCTAATTGATATGCTGTAAGTTAAATTATTGGCAAAGCCATGATTCTGTGATTTTCACTGACGGAGGATGGCGGCCAGAATTGTGCGAAGCACCGATGTGCTCACGTTTAAGTTCACGAATGGATGCTGCTAGGACATTCGCAACCCTGCGATTTCTACATGCTTTTACACTCCACACTGAGCTGTATCCTTGATGGAACCTGCAGTTGCATGAATTGAACTGTCTTAACGTCTCAAATGAAGAAACATTTGTTTTTTCTTTCGATGGGTCGATTACCTCGTATCAGTAATAGAACAAAACTGAACCATCGACTTGATATCGTTATAGTTAGTTATTGCTGTCTGCTTATAGACATTATCTTCTAATCTCCTCATACACGTCGAAACCGTATCCAGTCCTGCCTTTTTCCTCAATGATTTTCATACAGCTAGGTAATCCGCTATAGCGACTAACTGCGGTGTTAAGGACTATGAAAATTGATATATTTTATCTTATGATGCAAATTTCATATGGTGCTATCTCTGATCTCAACGTTTAATGTCTTCGCATTTGGTACCTTGTATATTTTGTTTCAGAGGTTACACTCTGTGCTGTGAGATAGGTCACTGCACATTTTAGCCGTTAAATTCACACATGACATCATTACCGTAGGTGCTGCAGCTATGGTATGACCGCACCATATTTCTGTCACTGTTAACTTGTCATCGACTTGACCACCTGTATTTTAGCTGCTTGTCTAATTAAACGGAGCTCAGTTCTGTAGATTCCCTTGTGTACATGAATTCGAATTTCGTGCAAAAATTAGCGTTGCGTTTGATTTCGATCCCGTGTCTCTTAATTGCAAAGCCAAACGACTTCCATCTACG